ACAACACCAAGTGAGTTTTTGATAGGAAAACTGTCCCTGTGCCTAATTTTCATGAGCGGAAAGCCAGCTCGGGAATTCTGAGTACAGAGGACTCCTTCCCCTTATCCTCTGGGCTGTGAGCCTTTCTACTGCCCCCTCTCACCCTGAAGAGCAGACTTCTTTTCTATCTTCACTAAATGAAGGAGCCTGGTGCTGTTTCTGTGTCCAGTCCAGTTCTAAGGATGCCCGTGGGGCCCTTCATCCCTCCGCTAGGAGGACACAGGAGGGCCCTCAGGGACACACCCACCATCACCCATGACCTCCAAAGCCACCTCCTGCCATCACCAGAGGCTTGGAGGTTAGGGTTTTGGCATGGGAGGGTTAGAGCCCATAGCAACAGAGCTCCTGTATGAAAGGCACCCTGTGCATCTAGGACTGAGATGATGGCAACCAACGCAGAGCCAAGCTCTAAGGGCCAAAGACCTCCCTCCCCCGGGCACCAGCCGCCCTCTCTACACTTAGAGCAGCCATCTCCTGGGCAGAGCTGAGGCCTTCTGCAGGCCGGGTGCTCAGTTCCATCAAAGTCCAGTGCTACATATTTATTATGTATTTAGCCCGCATTTGCAGCATGCAATGCCTACACTCCCCTATAGAGTTGGTGCACAAGGAAGCACGTGTGTTAATTTCTTTTCCTTCCCCTCTCCCCATCACTTGATCCCTCCCCGTTTGAGAGATGGACAAGATCTCTAAGTGATCTAAAGCACCAGATGGTCAGGGAAAAGACATTCTCTAGGCAATCACATTTTCCACATCCTCAGACTGTTAGAAGGACCCCAACCCCTCCTTGACCATGTGAGTCCTCTCTTGGGAAACTCAGCTGCTGCCCCTCCTGGCCATGTCGCCCTACCCGAGGAGATGCTTCACTCTTGTCCTTGCCTTCCTCTGCGCCCATGTCCCCTGCCCTCCGCACCACCCCCCATGTCAGGGGCCGCAGACATTGGGTCCGGATGGAACAGTGAGGTGAAGGGTCCAGGATGGGGTGTGTCCCTCACGTGGCACGTGGCAGTGAGTATGGCAGGAGCTGGGCACTCTGGGAATCCATGTGCCACAGGGGCTGGGTCATGGCCAGGAGCCTGGAGAGGACAATCCAGTGACAGCAGCAGCCCTGAGTGGGGTGAGCCCTGGAGGGAGACTCAATGTTGGGGTAGAAGCACCCAGGGCAGGAACGGTGCAACTCCTGCTTGCTTGGGGACCCAACTATGGACTCTGCCCATCTCCAGGAAACCAGAGGGCGGCCAGAGCCGTCCAGCCCAGCTGCTCAGACCTAGGCCCTTGCCTGGAGAAGTGCCTTTCACATTGAATCTGAGTCCTGGATTTCGCAGAATAAACATCCATCCAGTCTGACAGCATATCCAGCAGGCAGTGACTGTGGAACCACGCTTCCCCGAGAGTGTTTCAGGCCAGCCCTGGGGTCAGCACACAGAGCCTGAGGAAGAGGGGCTCTCGGGAATCCAGGATGCGGTGGGCTGACTCCAAGGAAGAGAGAGTCTGGTCTGACCGCACTGGGGCTGGGTGGAGGAGAAGCAGCAGTGGCCTCTACAACCTGCCTCGAGTCCCCCTCAAACTGACCACAGCACCGCAGCCCTCCCCTGACTGCTCTGTTCTCCCTTCTCTGCACACGCATTGCCTTCCAGCCTGCTCCACATAATCTATTGATTTCCTTTGCTTGTTTCTTATTTTCGGGTTCAGACAATCCCCACTGTGTGCCAGCATCCGCCCAGAGGGTAGGAGACACTGTCTGGAGCATCCTGCATGCCTAGAAGTCTGCCAGAAGCTCCAGAATTATTGGTGCTTCATCAATATTTGACACTCAGTAAATATTTGATGAACTTTTACCTCTGGTCAAGGTAGAGTAATGGAGAGTAGATTTACTCTCCCTCTGGAAACATTTAAAAATCTGGGCAGAATGTGTGAAACCCACAAGTTTTAGACACAGGATGTCGGAGAGTTGAAGTCAGTTTGGGACACGGGGTACAGACCTTGCTGGGCTGGCTGTGACCGTGCAGGGTCACTGGCTGGAGAGGCCCCAGGCCGTGGTGCAGGGACACTGGGCGGAGGGGCCGTTTCTGAGTCGAGGTGAACCTGGGAGTTGGAGGAGGCTGAGGCTACTGGAATCTGCACGGCAGGAGACGGAACAAGAGAGAGGTAGAGGTGCAGAGAGGAAGTCCCAGAAGTGTGCAGAGCATCTTTCCCAGGTGGCCAGCAGAGGGCTGATGGGTACACGTGTGAGCAGAGCACAGCAGGGAGCAGAGGACAAGCTGAAAGGGTCAGCAATGACAATGCTCACATGTAGGACTGGAAGCAGTGCTGGGTCCCCAGCCGGATGTGCCACCTGAGCTCTGGGGTGCTGGGGGACAGGAGAGTCATGGCCCATAGTGGGCAGGTATCTTTCTGGACTAAGTTACATTTTCCCCTACCTAAGAGATTTTAAAACCAAGCCTCAAGCAAATCAAACTGTTTCCAAGTAACTTAACTGTGTGGGAGCAAAGCTCAGCAATATTTACAAGAATATAAACATCCAGCACCTAACAAGGGAAACTTCACCATGTCTAGGATCCAATTAAAAGATGGTCCAGTAGGCAAGGAAGCAGGAATGAGTATGACCCACAAGAAGGAGAAAACCCAGTTAATCGATACAGACTCAGAAATAACAGAATGACAGAATTAGTAGACAGATACAAAAACAGTCATTGTAATTCTGTTCTCTCTGCCCAAGAAGCTAAAGGAAAGATTAAAGATGCCAAACAGAGTTGTGTAATAAAAGAAGACAGAAGCCAAATTTCTGAGATTAAAAATACATTGCATGAGAGTAAGAGAAGACTAAATACTGTAGAAGAAAAGACCTGTCGACTTGAAGACACAATAATAGAACTATCCAAAGAGAAATCTGGAGGGGGAAAAAGTAAACAGACCATCAGGAGCTGTGGATAACTTCCAGAGGCCCAAATGTCAGTGCAAAATTGAATCTCTGGAGTGGAAAAGGAGGAGGCAGAAAAAAAAAATCTGAAAAAAATATAGTGGCTGAAAATTTTACAAATTTGATAAAGAGTACGAACATCTGGACCCAACAAGGTGATTGAGTCCCAACCATATGGAACATGAAGAAAAGCAAGCCAAGACACAGCTAATCAAATTGCTGAGAAAAGCAGAGATAGAAAGTCTTAGCACAGCCAGGAAAAAAGCACCCACATGGTACAGAAGGGCAAAGGAGAAGAACAGATTTCTGGTCAAAACCAATGCAAATGAGAAGACAGTGAGGTGATGTTTTTACTGAAAGAAAAAACAGATCAGCCTTCTTTTCTATACTCAGCAAAAATATCTTTCAAAACACAAGAGTGAATGCAACATCCATTTAGATATGCAAATGTTGAGAGATTCTGTGACCAGCAGATTCCGCTGGGGGAAATACTGAAGGATATTCTTCCAACTGAAGGAAAGAGAAACCAGAGTGCTCTAAGGGTCTGTGGAACGGAATTGAGAGCTGCAAACATGAGGAGTGGATATATACAATTTCTTCTCTTTATTTAAAAATACCTCTTTAGAAGAGAATTCTGAGGTTCTTGGTGCTGGAAGGGTCGTTGGTGAGCATTAGAGGGTCTGGCCATGGCAGCCACACTGCAAGTTTTGCACCAGTGAGGTTATCTCTGCATCTGTGGGACTCCTGGCTTGCCTGGGTCGCCCTTGTGAAAAGACTCTGTGGCCAACTCCTCTTCAAAGGAGTCTTTGATTCTGAGCGCCTCTTGCCTGAAGATTCCTAGCAGCCTGGCTGGTCTGTACAGTGGCCAGGGATAGGCATGGTGCAGATGAACCTTTGGAGGCCACGCCCCACCATTGTTATTGTATGGCCTCAAGGGAGCAAGTGTCCAGGAAGTAAGACAACCCTGCCTGTGAGAGACCCTTCCTCACCCATGCAGGTTGTGGGCACAGCTTGGACTGGAGGCAACAGCATGGGAGTTACATGCATGAGAAAGCAGGAAAGTGGCTGCAAAGACTGGACAGGGTTCCCACCACCATGCAGCAATGCAGGAGAGAGAAGGGCACCCCCTCCTTCTGCCTCCTGGAAACAAGGGCACCCACCTGTGTGCCTGTCCCACTCCTCTGGCAATCTCCTGGCTTGGGTAATCTCCTGGGCCTCATCCAGGAAAGCCTACAGGCTGGACCTCAGGAGCACAGGGTGGGGAGGAGGCTGCCTCCTTCCCAACATCCTCCTCTTCCTCTGCCACGAACTGAACTCAGCTCTGAAATGGAGTTGTCCCATCCTCCATGCAGTGCTGCTGAGGGTAAACCACAGGCAGTCAAGGGTGTCGGTGCCACCTACCGTCTTATTCTGTCTGCCAGGTGTCTGGGGCTGCACATCCCAGCTGACCTGTGGACAGCTGCAGTCACCTCTGCCACCTTTGTCCAGGACCTGGCCCAGCCTGCTTCTGGCCTGCATCTTGCACTGGGGCTTGGAAGGGCTCCCTCAACCGGAAGGGCTGTGTGTCAGGGAAAGGAGATGCCCTTTATGTGTCTCTGGGTGAGTGGGAGGCAGCCAGCTGGGCTTATCATGGATGGAGATCTTGTATATTCAGCTTTCCTCTTGGACAGCTACACTCCTGTGGAGACTGTGGATCTTTTACTGAGCTCTGTTGCTGTCAATTTAAAAAATTGTTTCGGAAGAGAGATGCCATCATTTCTGAATGGTCAAGAAGCTGAATCAGTTACGGGGCTGTTTCCATAATAACTGTGCTTTTGTTGGGTTGTATTTTTGACCCAAGAGATGTTAATGTGAGACCGGTGAGTGAGCTCTGGTCTTCCAAGGAGACAGCAGGGTGGCTTCCCTGCCACCTTTGCTCGGGGAGGGACGGGCCCTCTCTCCATTCCTCCCCACAGACCTTGGATGGCAGGAGCTGCTGTACAACAGGCAAGCAAGCGCTTCAGGAAGTGAAGAAAAGGAAGCTTCCCCAGACAGTCTGGGGGCAGGCAGGTCTCTTGTCCTGGGGTCTCCCATGACTGCACATGGCCGTGGCTTTTCTGGATGGCTCTGGGGGTACTTCGGTGTCCAGGTGGGCGGTGTGTCTGTGAAGGCCCAGGGGTTTAGTTTTGGGTGAGTGTATTAGTCAGCTTGAGCTGCTAAAACAAAGTCGTATAGACAGAGTGGCTCAAAGGGCAGAAACTTCTTTCTCATGGTTTTGGAGGCTGGAAATCCCAGATCAGAGCACTGGTGGTTTGGTTCTTGGTAAGGTGTTAGGACTTCTCTAAGAGAACACTAATCCACACTCGGCTCCATGGTCCTGTCCCGATATCCTCCCAAAGGCTCTATCTCCCAATACCTGCATGCTGGAGGCTGGGCCTTGATGTTCACTTAGGAGAGGAGGCACAGTTTTGCCCCCTGAGGTGGGGAAAGGGCCAGGCAGGTGTCATGGAAAAGCTGAGGGAAAAGCCCTCCATCCTCATAGCCCTGCCATCTGCCTGTAGCTCTGGGAACCAGCAAGGTCTGTGCCCAGTACCCCAACAGTCCATTCCCTGTGGACCCCAAATCAACCCTGTCCTCAGAACCAACCCTGTGCACCCCAGCTTGGCTTCAGGGTCCCAGGTGCCCACCTGCTGTCCATGGGGCACCCATTCTTCCTGCTTTATTCAGGTCCCCTAGCACCGGAAGTGGGCACCTTTAAGGCTGGGCTTTGTAATGTGTAGGTTGGACGATGCCTGAGTGGGTCCAGAGATTCATCTGAGTGGTCCATTATCAATACTGTTTAAAGAAATAAGCAGAATATAACAATCAGAGGGTCCCGGAAGCCATTGTGACTGTTTGATGGAGTCCTCATTCCAGGTGTGTTTTGGTGTAGATCAAAAAGGTCCCCCAAACCTCTATGTGTGGAAAATGTTGGGCTATGGGATGCCGGGCTCTCAGTGGGTTTACCCTTTGAGCTCAGAGGCTGGATGTGTGGTGAGGAGGTGGGACACAGGGGAGGTGAACTGGAAGGGTGTGTTCTCGGGCTCCTGCCTTCTGTCTCTGCTTCCTGGCTATGGGGGTGTGGTCAGTTTTCCTTTGCCCGGGCCTCTGCACAATGCCCTTTTTGCCTGGGAGCCAGCCGACCATGGGCCCAAACTGTAAGCCAAAATAAACCCTCTCCTCTTTTACATTATGGACTTCAGGTATTTTGTTCCAGTGACAGAAGAGTGACACACAACGCAGGTGAGTACAAGTGTCTGCCAAGTGTGTGCCCTGGGTCCTGGGTTTGAGCACTTTGTGAAGAAGAAGCTGGAAGGCTGCTGCTTTAGGGGAGCTGGAGAATGAAAAGATTCACTCTGGTTTCAAGATGCCTGGAGGCAAGGTGTATAGAGAGATTTGAGGCAAGAAAGCCCTCTGGGATCCTGACTGTTCAACATCTCTCTTTACAGCTAGGAACAGAGGCCAAGAGGAAGCCAGGCGTTGGCCTCAGGCTGTTCAGTGGGTTCCGCCTCCAGCTTCCAAGCACCTCTTAGGAATCCAGGAAGGAATCCCTGTCCTAGGCAGATGGAATGATGCCAGACACCAGTGATGCTGGCAGGTGAAGATTCCAAAACTCTCTCCTTGAAAACAATGAGAAAACTAGCAAGTTAGTAGGATCAATTATTTTAGAACTCTTGAAATTAACCAGTGGCTTGCAGCAATTCTAGGAGCAATTTTTCATCTTAAAAAGAACAGGCTTTGTAGCATTTTAACTGGCTCTATTCTCCCACCTCTTTCTTCCTCTCTGTGGTAGCCTTGCAAACCAGTGCTTACAATCATGGAGGACACTGTGGGGGCTAGGGGATGGTGGCAGCCACCAGAGGGGACATGGGAGGAGCTACTTCAGAGGTTCACAGCCACAGAGCTGGGGTCACTTGACTGTCTGCTGGTTCACAAAAGGCCCAGCTTGGAAAGCGTTTTATCTCCCTAATTTGAAGTCTGGTTTTTTGATATCAAACAGTAAGCATTTTCCTTAGGGACATTTTCTGAAAACATTTACAAGTAAATTTTTAGTTTAGTGGCATCCTCAAGCAATTGATTAGAATCAGTGAAAAGAGTAAATATTTTCAAAGGAAAAGCTGGGGAAAGAGAAGTCCCTAGATTTGAAAAGCACTGCTCTATTCCTGGAGCTCCAGAGAGCCACACATGAGCAGAGTGGGCACTGAAGAAAACCGTAAGGCTCTGTGGGATGAGAAAGCAAAGGCCAGGGCAGAACTTCCAAGGCCTGTGTATGTAGAGGGAGATTTAAATCAATAATAAGAGGGAGGAAGATTTCAAGCAGTAAACTAAAGCTTCAGTCTGAAGAAACTAGTAAAAGAGAGTAAACAAAACCTCAGGTATGGAAAGAAAGTTAAGAATCAAACTTAAAGGTGAAATTATGAAATAGAGAACAGAAGGTTAGAAAAAGCCAATAAACCAAAATTGGGTCCTTTTGAAGATTAACAAATTGGCTAGCTTTTAGTAAGGCTCATCAAGAGAAAAAGAGAGAAAAACCAACACTGAAGGCAGGAATAAAGGAGAAGACCTTTACACCAACCTTGCAAAACTAAAAAAATGTTAAGAGGATATAATAAACAATCCATGGGATGCCACGAAGTTTTCTGACCTAGGTGACATGAATTACTGAAACGGACTCAGGAAGAAATAGAAAGCCCAAATAGACCTGTAAAACATAAAGAGATTATATTCATAGCAGAAATAATGATTGCAATACACCTCTCACAAACAAAATCTCAGGACAAGATGGCTTCACAAGTTAATTCTGCCAAAAGCTTAAAGAAGAATTAAAATGTCAAACAGTTACAAAAGCTTACAAAAATAGAAGAGGAACAAACTACTGCAAACTTATCTCATGCATTACCATGATAACAAAGCCAAATAAAGACATCACAACAAAATAAACCATACAGAAAAAAAAAAAACTATACAGAGACATGGATATAGGCACAAAGGTCCTCCACAAAACACTAGCAGATCAAACCCAACAATATATAAAAAAGATAACACACAATGATACATGAGATTTATCCAAGGAATTGCAATTATTTAACATCCAGAAGCTGATCAGTGTAATGCCCAATATTAACAGACCAAAGGATAAAAACATCACCATTGCAACAGATACCAAAAAGAATTTGATAAAAATTTAATCCCTTTCAGTAATACCTTTTTCATATTGTTTCATTCAACACACTTGAAAGACAAGAGTATTTTCTCACACCAATAAATTTCATTAAGAACCTTATAGCTCACATCATGTTTAATAATGAAAAATTGAAATTTTTTCCCTTAAGGTGAGAAATAATACAAAAATGCCTACTCTCTCCACTTCTATGCAACATTGTACTGGAGTTTTTAGTTAGGAAAATTAAGCACAAAATAGAAATATGGACATTCAGATTGTCACGAAAAAAAGGTCTGCTTTTAGAAATTACATGATTCTGTGTCTAGAAAATCGTAAGTAACACACATACACACACGTATGTATTAATGTGTGTGGAGACACACACAATTAGACCTAATAAAGGAGTCCAGCGAGATCACAGGTTTAAAAAAATGTATGCAAATTTGTCATATTTCTGTATAGTAATAGTGAATAAACCAAAAAATGAAATTAAGAAAATAATTCCACTTGTAATAGTACTAAAAGGTTACAATACAGATAAATAAATTTAACAAAAGAAGTAAAAGAGGGCTGGAGATTTAGCTCAGCAGCACAGTGCCTGCCTGGCAAGTGGGAGGTCCTGAGTTGGATCCCCAGTACAAAAAAAAGAAAAAAGAAACTATAAGGCTTCTTCTTGAAAACTACAAAATGTTGAAAAACACTTAAGGAAGTCCTAAATAAATGGAAAGGCATTTTCTATCCATAAACTTTAAAAGTTGATATTATGAAAATGGCAACAACCTTTGCACAGTGGTAGTATTGTAGCCAGTGAGGTTTATCTGAGGAGTGATTATTGCTAATTGAACATGGTAATACTGTCCAAATAGATATCACTTTAAAGCAATGTCTGTCAGAATCCTATCTGGCTCACTGCAGACATTGCCAAGCTGATCTTAAAAAATTATATGGAAATACAAAAGCCAGAATACCACCCCCACACAAATTCTTGAAAATAAATAAAGTAGAACTCATACTTCCCTGATTTCAAAATTGCTACCAGGATACAGTCATCCAAAGTGTGCTCCCAGAATAAGAATAGACATAAAGATTATTAATTATAGACCTGGGAGTTCAGAAATTAGTCTTTATATTTATGATTTTTAGGAAAGGTACCAAGAAATTTAAATGGGGTGAAGAGTAGTGTTTTCCATTGCCAACAGAGGCAGACATACCTTGATACAGCTTTAAAGCATCCTATGCAACACATCCCAGCACCCTGTGGAACACAGATGTGAGGAAAAAAATGCATGGAAAAGGGTAAGAGTGGTTTCACATGAGCTGAACCAATTGCTCCTCTTGAGTCCACCCAGCACAACATCAAGAAACATTCTCCCAGCCTGTGAGTTCTCCTGTGAGGATAAAAGACAGCAAATCCAGCTTCCCCCAGTTTCTCAAAGAGAGAATTTTAAAGGAAGCAGGAAGAATGACTCTTCATATACAGGGGAACCTTTCTAAAGCTATAACAGATTTCCCAGCAGCAATCTTGCAGCACAGGAAATAGTGGGATGATATATTCAAAGTATTAAAGATAAAAGTGTGCCAATCAAGAATACCACACATAGCCCAATTTTAAAATTAAAGAAGAAAAAGTTTATGTTTGTTTTCCAGATGAACATAAACTGAGGGAGTTGCTTTGTAGGAAGTGCTAAGGCAGGTACTCCAGGTGAAATGACAAGACACCTAACAGCAGCTTAAAGACATATGCAAGTGAAATCTCACTGGCAGAAATAAATATGCAGGCAAATACAAAAAAATGTAAGCCCAGGATTTAGCTCAGTGGTTCTGCCACCTGTCTCAGAAGCACAAGGTCCTGAGTTTGATCCCCAGTACAAACAAAACAAAACAAAGCAAATATAAAGAATGTAATCCTGGAATGAGAACACTGGAATCACTTTTAATTCTTCTATAAAAGTGAAAAGAAAAAGTATTAAGCAAAATTATTACCACAAAAATTTGTTAAAGGATATACAATACAAAAAGTAAATTCTGACATTAACCAGAATTTTATCAAACAAAAAGTGTATATTCCTTGACTTATGAATATTTGAGTTGTGAACTTTCACAGTGTACTGTATAAGACTCACTTTCTTGGATACAAATGAGTCCAACTTACAAATATTCTCCTGGAACAGAGCTCATTTGTAAGTCGGGGACTTACTGGATATGTGTGGGGAGACCCAAAATTGAAAAACAATTATTATTAATATTTTTGGTATATGATTGAGGCCAAGTGGTGCTTGGTTTAAAATAGACTGTTATAGCTATAAGCAATTCTATTCAGCATTCAATGCTAATAACACACAAAAAATAACTTACAGAAAATACCAAAAAGAGAAAAAATAATCTAAGTGTATATTATCATCAAACAATCAGATAACCAGGGTGGATGGCAAGAATGGAAGAGAAAACAGTTGCTATGGTTTGGTCTTAACTGCTCCTCAAAGGCTCACAAGCTGAATTCTGTGTCACCAGCATGTGTGTGGCAATATTGAAAGGTGGCGAATGATTAGGAGGGTAGGCCTAGTAGGAGGAAGTGAGGTCACTGAGGCTGTTCCCCTAGAGGGGATGCTGGGACCCCAGTCCATTTATCTTG